TCTGTGAGGGCTGAGAGAGAGGGCCTGGCCCAAAGTCACCCAGCCGGCTTTCATGCCTAAGGCAGGACTAGAACTCACCGTCTCCTGGTTTCTATCCAGGAGCCTTAACCACTAGACCACTGCGAGGTAGTCCAGCCAAGAAGCACAACTATGAGTACCAACTCTACCTTTATTGTAAGGTTGCTTTGGAGGATCTTGCAAGTCTGAAAGTGTTTCTCTTCTCTTCTCCTTTCCTTTTACTCTCTGGAAAACCAGGGAGCTTCTTCAGGGCATCTGGGGGTCCAGGATAAGAACCAAATGCTGAATGACAGTTTGCTTAACTGGCTGAACGATGCTCTTTGCGTAGTTAGATTACCGCTAAGTACAAATCATGAACCCTGGTTTGCTCATCTCTGAATAACAGTTACTGGCCAAGAACAAACAAAGGAGGGTGCAAAGACGGGCTGATCATATGAACACCATGTGGCCACAGAGGTTTACCCTTCACTTTGGATCTGTTCTCTGAGATACTGTCTACTACGATACATACAGTAAAGAGAATTGTGACTATTTCTCAGGCAGGATATAGAAGTAAGTGTCAAAGGTTCTGAAAACAAAAAACAAAAACAAATAATGCAGATGAACTAAATGAGCATAGACCTTTTTGGTGTAATATGCTGACGTCCCGTATTTCATTAACTTTTTCATCATTATGCCAACATATGAGCTATTAGTGGTTTCTCTGGAAACCTGTGAATGTCCTTATCTTGCTCAGTGCAGGAGAAATGAAAATATCCAGACAGGTGACTGCTTGAACACCTTCAAGCAAAAATAGAACCCGACACCTTGCTGTACTGTTGAACTGCCACTACAATTCAGATATTTTTCCTAACATTCAACTGAAATGTTACCTGCAGGGTTACCAGCTCTAGTCTAAAAAGGATGATTTGGAAGTTTACTTTTACTTAAACAAGTACTGTAGTATCCTAAAAACTTAGCAGATGTTTTAAATTTCCACGGATTACTTCTTTTCTTATTTATTTTTTAAAATGTATTTATATTTATTGAGGATCATTACTTCTTCTCCATCAGATGCATACAGGGTTACACCAAGGAACAAGGTGCTATTTTTACCTGAAAGTAAATAATCAACTTTTCAATGAAAAGGTTCATTTGTATTTCCTTAGAATGTGGCAATAGAGGCTAATGGGGTTTTCCTGTCTAATCTTCCTTTTATATGGGGATTATCTTAAAATCAGGGTCACCTTCCTTTTGGGTAAATACAAGACTCTTAACCCAGCACATTGCATGTTTCTGTTGTCCACAGACATTTGATAAATGTAAGTCATTGAGGTATTGCAACAGTTGCTGGAAAAATTAAGCAGCATTTTCAGGGTCACCTTGACCCTGTCTATCTTCATAGGGTTTTAAAAAATGACAGACAACTAGTATCCTTAATGCACCTAGTATCCAGGAGCTATTTCAAATTAGCACATGCAGATATCCTAAGCCTTCAGTTCCCAGAATTCCCAACCAACGTGGACCTTGGCTGAGAATTCTGGGAGCTGAGAATTTTGGGACCTCACTCATCTCAAGGATGTCAGGCTTAGAAAGGTGATTACAATCTTCTGAAAGTTGTAACGGCAGTCCTTACCATATACACAACATAACAACAGACTAAATATCTGTGGCTGCTCGAGCAAGATTTTCTGTAAAAGTTCTGCAGAAACAACAGGAAGAGCATTCTCTTCCTCCACCTTCATCTTTGAATGCCTTGGTTGACCTTCAGAAAAAAGACCACCTCCCAGATCCTTGGAGACCGATCGCAGTATTTGATAGAGCATGTGAAAAATCACATGGCAGAAGAAACAGTTGCCCAGTTCAAACCCTCCTTTCCCCCTAGGTTGCCTCTCTGCTGCCCCCAGGAAAAGTGGAACAGGCCTGCGTGCCAGAAACCCAACAGCCAAGGGCCTGACCCCTGGTTTCATGCCGGAAAGGAACTGGTGCTTATTGACAGGATCAGAAAGTAGACACACTGAACAAAGGCACTGATCTCATGTTGAAAAACAAATACATTGGCAGGGGGGTATTAGTCTATGTACATGCAACTATTTTTAGACCTTTATGCCTATCTCCAGGCAACGCCTCCAAATGCCTTTTGTGGCCATCGAAGACTCTGCCAACCTCACTCTAACTTTCAACTTCCTGCCACTGGAGACAAGAAGCTCACAGATAGCGTAATATGAGCTAAAACGAAATTTCCCCTGCCGCATGACACAGAAACCAAACAAAGAAACAATGAAATCCTTGCTTGACCCACCCACATGAGGCTGCTTCACCAACTCAGCATCATCACCCCATAGACAGGGGGCTCTTGCCACCCAGCCATCAAAAACTAGCTTCTGTGATGTAGGCCTACAGGAGACTTTTGTGGGTCTCTTTGAAGCACACAAGCATTCTTATCAACACCCACTTCAAGAGCGAGATCCCATCTTACCCCATCCTATGAAACAGCCATTTGTCGTATGATGCGACTCAGAGGCAGAACGTTTGGTGTGTTCATAAAGCGTCAGGTTCACGTTCTGGTGGGTCTACGGAGGCAAGGAAAGGCTACAACATGCCCCATGTGTTATTCATTTGCAACTTTTTTGGAAGTAACCTTCTGCATTGCCACGGAATGTGTTCTGCTAACTCATAGACAATTCTGACAGCACCCACTGCTCCTGAATTTAGCTAGCCGATCTGAAAAGGATTACAGAGTCACCACTTTTTGAAGGCTGCCTGTCAGGGCTAAGTTCTAGAGACCCAGACATCCTTCGACTTCTGCCATTCCCTCTCTCAATTCCCATGTTCAATATGTCACAGAAGTGGTAACCAGAAGGTCATTAGCCTGGGAAAACCACATAGGAAACTCAAAAAGCAAATACTGGAGGACTGAAAGCAAAGGGTCATTGTTGTTTTTTCTACAGACACCCAGACAACTAACTTTTCATAGTAAATCAATACTACAGATGTTCCCAAAACCAACCCACAGCTACAGACTTTACTATGACTCTCCAGCCTTAATGGGAATTTTCAACATTGCCCAACGAGCAACGTTAAATGCAGACTGGAGGGTTAAAAACAAGGATTACAAAATAATCATCCAAACCAGAAGTTAAGACAAGTAAAGCAAACATTTAGATCCTTAAAAAAGAGCGCTGAGGGATCTTAATGATTCTTTGTAACTGGATGGACAAAAATACACAGAGTAGGTTTTAAACAAAAATCAAAAGATACGGGTATAGATTAAAAAAGAAGTGTCATTCACTTCTTGAAAGAAAACAGCTCAGGTTTAGTCAGGGATTTGGGACATTAGATACAAGAGACAGCATAAATTCCCCATTTTAAATTTGAGGAGATCACACTGTTTTCTCCCCTTTTTTCCCACCCATGTTAAACCTTTTTAAGGCAGGTCTGAAAGAGCAGTCCAGTGCTCAGAGAGAACAGAAAGTGACTGGGAGGGACTGGCACCGCTTGCTAGGACAAGGTACCCTTAGAGGAGAAGTACAAAAATGCCAATGTATTCATCAACTTCTCCTATAAGGGTAAGATTGGTTCTCAGAGAAAATGAAGCCTCCGTGTTAACTGCCACATGATGTCCAGTAGAGGATTCAGCAGAGAATCCTGAATTTAAAGAAGAGGCAAGCATCTGTTCTGAAACCAACCTTCTTAAAGCCCCTCATGGTTTGGGGCTGGGTGTCAGAGTCTGCACACTCATTCCCAAAGTTCAGTAAATCTTCTGGAGTCTAATTAGT